CACCCGTAACATAATATTATGACTGAAAAATTTTACAACCTGCGAAATAGGTTTTTCAAGATGAATCGCTGGGCTCACGTGTTTCAACGGAGTCCAAAGTTCAAATTTTCTAAAGAGCCTTAATATACAGATTTTTCTGGCTTTAGGAAGACGACGACTTTGGCACGCCGCCAGGCGGACGGAATTTTTCTGGTTGCATGGATTGCCGTGAAAAGCGGGGCCAGCCACTGTAGGCCCTTTGGACCAAAGTTCTTAAGAAATTTCGGGAAAATTCCATCCACACCAGTAGCCTTCTTGGCAACAGTGTCATGTTTATTTTCTCCAGCATATAAGAGGTGGATAGTGGCTTGTTCCAGGACAGCTGTTAAGGGCAAGGAAATATTCTTTCTACACTATCGTGCGGACGGCATTATATGTCGGTGTTTCAGACGTATGGAGGAGGTGAGCATTAATAGCGTCAGCGGAGCCTTTCGCCACTCGGTGCTTTGTTGGTTCAGCTGCGCAAAGGTGGTGGAGCAGTGGAGCAGTACTCATGCCTTGCGACTGAAATTTGTGAAATCCAGTGTTTCCACAGTCTTGCACTATCGTCTCTGCCCCTCTAAATTCAAGGATTCGACGAGAGCAGCTGCAGGTTCAGGAGACCCTCAGCGTTTGTACTTCATGTGAAGTTCCTCTGTCTCTTTCGACCAGCAATGGTGTAATCTTCCAATATCCAGAGGAATGTTGCTTGTCGCAACAGAGGTCAATATTCGACCAAAACCACCAAATGCTTGGGTCGTAGGCAAAACCCGTTGAAGGCGGTCTTCGACTTCGGCAGTGTACGATGACCTGTTTGCTTTTTGAAAGTTCCAACGAGGTAGTGGAGCCGACTGAATTAGCGTTACCTGCAGACCGATTCGGAGCACGACAGGGCGGTGCTGGCTTTTTGGAAAGAATTCAAGCACAGTCTTGGAAGCAGGAATCGGAATGCCGCTACTATATTTGGAGACGAAGCAAAGATCCGGGCATTTGATTGTCTTAAATCTTGTTGATCTGAAAGTACCTTGCTTTTTAGCATCGTGCCATAAGTGTACACCAGTTGCTGGTGCTCAGTCGGTTAGTTGCTCACCTGACGCACTGTTCACGGAGTAACCCCATACAGTATGGTGGCTATTAAAGTCGTCCGCATTAACAGCTAAGTGAGGCATCTTGGTAATGACAGTGTTGGCCAATTGGTTCCAGATCGCTTATATATGTTCATTATAGCGATTTCTCCAACGGTTACTGTAGTGAATTCGAGGCCATTTAATTCGTGTATGTGTTCGCTGATCTGATTTTTGCCGCTGTTTATCATCGCGACATCCTTGAGGTCTAATCCAGCATATGTAGTTAGGCCATGTTTGGGGTCACAGGTATTAGCGACCATATTGAACCCAGCAATTTTGTGTCCGACTGCTTTGCTATCATCTTCAACATGCGTCTCTTGCAGTATGACGAACTCAGCGTCCTCGACAGATATTCGCATTTTGCGTAGGAGCTGCCTCGACGTTCAGCTGAAATATGCTCACGGTTTCCTTTCCTTCGCCCTCATAACCGAATGACCGTTTGATATATTTGTTTTTCCTCGTTGACCCTCACAATGGCCTTTGGGCTTGTTTCCTACTGGCTTACATGTTTGGTTCTGAGAAGCACTATTAGGTTTGTTGCTAGTCGAGCCGAGATGTTGCTTTCGCAACGTTCCGCAGCCAGGTGACGACATTCGTTGTATTGATAGGCATTGGCGTACTTACGCAATACGTAACAGGAACACCACGTGAAGGTTGTCGTTTTGCCCCTTGCTATTACTTGTTACCTCTATGAGGTACTTCCAAAATCTTCCACCTGTCTTGTAGATGACCTATCATCAACCGTTCAGAAGAACGTTGTGATGAAATTTCATAATTAATACTTCTTTCTGGAATTAATGCGGCGTGTCTTATCGGTTGATCAACACAAAATGGAATGTGAACCTAGATACTTTGTTCGGGATTGCAATGAGAGTGTGATTATCCTACGCATAACTGCCTTAAAATCGACGGAGGTTAAAATTAATCTCTGGTTACTAGGGCCTCTTTACCTGACCGCTTATGAATCGGGTACGCTTATAAAAAATTTGGCTTCGTTTTTATCCATCGCAACTCTCGACAGCAGATACGTTATTACTAGGATTCTAGCAATTAGAATCCACTTGCATTCAAAACTATTGCTTGGAGAGTATGGACACCAATATTTTATAAGTGTCCGTTGAAACTTTCTTAAAGCAATAATTTAGTCCACCCTTCCCGCAGAAAAGTTAAGGGGATCTGGGCGCTGTGGTTTAAAATAAATTGCATTAAAACTTCTTCTGCAAACTATTGCATTCTAACCTTTTATTTTACCACGTAAAGAGTTCAGTACCAACAAGTTGCACGTAATCTTTATACTATGCGAATCCATTACAAGATCCACAACGATCATTAACCCGTAGATCACATCCAACTTGGCATTGTTGCCCCCTACCTATTTCGAGTACGAACTTTAACCGGTACCGGCTCCCAGGTTAAAATTGGGCTTGATTCATGATAGTGTTGAAATTCTAGACGTGGATAAATCGACACATGACAAAGGTAAATGGCGCATAAGCAAGAGCTTATCAGATTTGAACGCACTGTATCACAACAGAGAGACACACAGCGCATGTTGCACTTGCTTCGTATTCATTCCGTTGCGACTGCTCACGGAATTGCCTTCTTTCACCAGCTGG